ACGGATTGAGAGGTCCCAGGTTCGAATCCTGGCTGGGGTAATAGTTTTCGCAATAAGAATTTTAATTCAATAGGGGAAAGGGTAAATTTATAATGCTAATGTGTGACAAAGGCTTGTATGATATAAATCAGAATCAAGGAGGAAGGGCTCTGAGCCGTGACGAGATGTACATGTCAAAATATAAAATAATTTATTGTTAATGTTGAGACCGTTCTTTATACCTATACGAAGCAAATACGTATGACCATTCTTCATATCTATGTACTAAGCAAATACGTGTGACCATTCTTTATATCTATATCCTAAGTAAATACGTATACGACGTCGTACACGATAAGCTGAACACTCGTTGAGTCACAAAGGGAACACTCGCTCGTCATCGAAGGGATACGTGAACTCCCACCGATCCCCCTATCACCGATCGGCGGAATCGTGAGAGATCGACCGACCAATGGACGTGACGGGGAAAGGGGGGAGCGAGAGCAAAGGTTCGATAGCGTCGTCTTGAGACGACACAGTCTTTTTGAGATCGGCACAGAGTGAAGACGAGCGAGCTCCCGCAGCCGAATGGGCATCACAAAGAACGAGTGTTCCAAATCGACGTGGCTCAGGGTACGATACACCTAGGCGTTGCCACTGCGAACAACCAAATCGACGTGGCTCAGGGTACGATACCCCTAGGCGTTGCCACCAGTGATGTTAGCTGTGCCGCTTTCTAGCGCATGCGCGTTCAAGTTCAGCAGCAATGCAGTATCAAAACAGGATGTATACAGGTCCTGCAGAAACCCTACTTTGATGCTTCTATAAAAATTATATAAAAATTTTTTAATTGTGAATAAAAAGATGTAAAACATGTAAAAAGATGTAAATCATGAGAAACTACATTAACATTATTAACGTTTTCGAGGTTTTGACCTTTAATATTATCTATATGTTTAGCCGTTCGTGAATGCTTTATCAAATCTGGCCTACAACATCTAATGCTGACATTACATATGCTATACAAAATGCTTTATTTACTTCGGAATGGAAAGCTAACCATGTATACTACTTACATTTTCATCCCACACACTTTCCTGCTGTCCCAAATTCCGCCAGAACTGTCAGTGTTCATCTCCCACATCTTATATACGTTACTGGATTTCACTGCTATTGCAGTGCGCATGCGCCAGAAAGCGGCACAGCTAACATCACTGGTTGCCACTGCGAACAACCAAATCGACGTGGCTCAGGGTACGATACCCCCAGGCGTTGCCACCTCGAGAAAGACGTATTACAAAGAAAGATTCAATCGACGTGGCTCAGGGTACGATACCCCAAGGCGTTGCCACCTCGAGGAAAGCGTTGCTACCTCGAGCAAAGAGTTGCCATCTCAACTAAAACTGACCGCATTGGATGCGGCCAGCGTACGTACTGTCACACATCTAAATATAGGTAACCTATTATAAGAATAAAACATCATGATACATACAATATTTCGTTATTAATTAAATAAGCGAAACCACGGTGCAGTGGATAAAACCAGCTGTACTGGATGCGAACAGTTAAACTAACGTAACGATTAACTTGATTAAACGTTTCGGTCGAATTCTAGACCATCTTCAGTAATACACAATAATTTTATACTAAGTGTCGTGACGGTTAACATATTAAAACGCATATCGTGTACAACATTGTAAAAGATTCCGAGAGATTCTCAAACATAGTAAGCAAATTCGATTTTAGAATAGCTTACTCCTGCCACCATCCTCTCGGAAGATTCATTAAGACTGGCAAAGACAACCTAGATAAGTTAGCTCATAGTGATGTGGTGTATCAGATCCCTTGCAAGGATTGTGATGCCACATATGTTGGTCAGACAAAGAGACAATTAGGAACCAGAGTGAAAAAACACTACAACGACATTAAAAGGAACCCCGCATCCCCCTCTGTCATCTCTTGCCATAGAATGGACGCTTCACGTGAATTTGATTGGGAAAGCGTTGCTATTCTTGACGAGGAACCTTCATACCACAAAAGATTGATCTCAGAGAAGATTCATATAAAAAGACAGGTCAATTCTCTGAACAAACAATCTGATACTGAACTATTATCCGAAGAATACCTGCCTATTTTAAACCTACTCCCTCCTAAATAATTGTTCCCCTCACTCCTCCTCTCTTACTCCCCCCTTCTCTCGTACATCCTACTTCCTTCTCTTACTGTAATATAATTCTCGTGCCATTTGCCAAGTTACCTTGCTACGACCATGCTGACCAAATTGGTCCAGTTCACAGCATTTCCAACATAACTACTAAGTATGTATTCTAATTCTGTTTCTCCTACCAATTATAAAACCATTAAAAAATTTTTTTCCTTACAGCTCATTTTGGTACATTGCCTTTATTTCAACCTGCGTTTTTACAATGTTGTACACGATATGCGTTTTAATATGTTAATCGTCACGACACTTTGTATAAAATTATTGTGTATTACTGAAGATGGTCTAGAATTCGACCGAAACGTTTAATCAAGTTAATCTTTATGTTAGTTTAACAATAAATTATTTTATATTTTGACATGTACATCTCGTCACGGCTCAGAGCCCTTTCTCCTTGATTCTGATTTATAATGCTAAGTATAGTATTAAAATTTAATTAAAATAGTTTGAATAAATCGCTCTGCGATTTTTAGAACACCTGAATTCACTGACGATAATGATCCCACCTTTATTTTTTTTGTTAGCCCGGTGGAAACCCTCATGGGCCGTCACCCCGCTCCCGCTGGGACGGGAGGGGGTGGTGTGTGGGACTCGTCTCCCTGGCACTTGGGCAATTGAGGACCCAAGGCCAGTAGTGCAACGGAGACGCCTACCGTACTAAAACCACCGGGGGTGGACTTCTCTGCGCTTTCTGGAGCCATCCGAGAACTGCGACGCATGACTGCCGGATGGCCCCGCGCCGCGCGTTGTTGTTCGTGCACACCTTCGCTCTTACTGAGCTTTGGCCCTTAGAAGGGCCTTTCTCCTACTCTGCAGCGGGGGTGCCACCAGGCCCTCCGCTGCGCCCCCTTGTTGTTGTTGGGGGCGGGTCTCCAGCCCACGTCCCGCCCCCGGGAGTCTTCTACAATCCCAGATCTTCTCCTTTTAGTCGCCTCTTACGACAGGCAGGAGTTACCCCGGGCCTATTCTATCTGGCGGGTCCCGGACGCCTTGCGGAAGACTCCCATCTCCTTGTCCGTCTTCAGTGGGTGGGAGGAGGGGAGGCAGCAGGCGACCCGGCCTCCCAGACCTTAGCCTGAGGGGCCGGACGTCCCACGAACCCCCCTCTACCCCCCTTTCCCCTTTTCCCAATATTACATGGGTCGGAGGTGGGCGGGAATCCCTCTCCTTCTCCTTCTTCTTCCCGT